AGGTCCCAGACACTGAAGTCCTCAAGCGAGCGGAATTGCCCAGTGTAGGTGCTTTGATCATGAGAGCTCAACTTCGCTGGTCAGGTCATGTAGTACGGATGCCTGATGATCGACTCCCCAAAAAGATCTTCTACGGTGAACTAACAACAGGCAAAAGATCGGCTGGTGGTCAATTCAAGAGATACAAGGATTGCCTTAAAGCAACCATGAAGCAATGCAACTTCAATGTGAGTAGCTGGGAAGAACATGCCCATGATCGAACGGCATGGAGAAGATTATCACACGAAGGTGCATCAAGCTTCGAAGCCCGTCGCATCAGGGAGGCTGAGCTGAAACGACAGCAACGAAAATCTCGTCAGCTAGATGCTTCCCTACGTGTCCACCCCCACCCCCAACCTAGTGTGTCCAGTGTAGGACCGTAGCTTCCTGGCTAGAATTGGACTTATTAGCCATCTGCGAACACACAACACCAACTAGTATGGAGATGTTGGCTGTCATCTTCGAATTTCGAAGGACGAACTATATATATATGCGAAGTCTACTGTGTGAATGTTGTATGCTTATCCGCTATCCAGTCTTTATATAGAGATCAGTGGTATCAACACATGTAGACCACAGATGTTCACTCTCCGTAGGTAGACGGTAGAGGGCGCTTCGATCTATATAAGGTAGCAGACCAGTAAATAAACTTCCATAGACCCCAATGGTAAATGCTCCCACTTCAAAAATTCGGGAAAAATACTCACAACTCTCCAAGGTGTTCGAGACACACATCAAATTAAAGCTTATTTCATCATCTTTCATTTTCTGTTCAATTTACGGGGGGTCAACTGATAACTTTTAGGAGAAACTTCAATCTGAAGACGATCACCCCTGAAAATAGTCCTGAAGCCCATCGCCATTTTGAAAAACGATGCCTACACTCCATTGCAAAATAGAGCGCTTTTAGGGTCCAAATTACATCCAATTTACACAGAACTGCAAGCTCCCAGTCCTGTGCACGGCTTCCACCCATATTTTTTACAAACCTTCAAGTTCATGGCCCACAGCATGCTCAAATACCGAAGATTTTGAGGGCATGCAAATCGCGATTTGGCCGGCGCAGGCAATTTCGGGCCGATTTACTGGTCTGCACCCATAATTATTTTACTTTTTCGATCTATGTATTTTAAAGTTTGATTCTATGTATTTAGCGGGCGCTTCGTGTTATATATTTAACGTTTCAATAGGGTTGACCGTTTTAGCCGAATTTCGGCTAAATTTGACATTTTTTGGGGGGGGGAAATAAGTTTGACAAAAAATCTAGAAGATTGAATTGATTCTAGTAGATTTCTAGCAGAATTCTGCAAAACTGGTGATTTTGACGGGAAAATATAGCAGTTTTTGAAGAAAAAAAGTTTCACAGAAAATCTAGCAAATGATTTTTTTTAAGCAGATATCTAGCAGAATTCTGCAAAATTGGTGATTTGGACGGCAAAATATAGCAGAGCTGATTTCCTCAAAAAAAGGAGCTTTTTTGGCCAGTCTAAGCGTTGAGGTACGAGAACACAGTAAAGTACTGTAGACATTGGAAACCAGGCTAGACAAGAGCCATTTAAAAAAAGAATAATAACTTTTTTGTAAAGGAAATTTCATAATTTTGTTGTTGTTGGGGGGGGGGGTTAAGGACATTTTATAACATCTGCATATGAGTATAGGTGTTTATAATGTATTTCGTGTAAATCATAAGTGATTTGGCAGATTTTTGTTTAATCAATCAGATTTTGGAAGTACATCTAGCAGAATTTGGCATTGACCTTACAGTCACCCTAAATTGAGTCCATTTGCAACTTGCTTCGTTTTATATAATTATTTTAATTCTCGCTCGATATATTTTTCTCGTTCTACATATATTGGTTTCGTTCTATATATATTGGTTTCGTTCTCTATATATTGGTTTCGTTCTATATATATTTGTTTCGTTCTATATATATTTGTTTCGTTCTATAAATATTTGTGTCGTTCTATATATATCTTTGTTTCGTAATAAAGTCATAAAGGGCGCCTCATACACTTTGATCTTTCGCCTGTAGCCTATTGCTAGAGCAAACTAATTTACTTGAAATTTTAAAGAAATTGAAATTGTATTAAGTTCTTAACATTACATCTTGTTCATTAATTGCGTGTTTATCTACCGGTAACAAATTAAGCAGAGAAATTTATTTTGGCGTGATTTCGCGAAGTTATTTCGAAGTGGAAGACCGTAAACCCATTTTCTCAACATTCTGCTAGAACAGAAACAGAATTATGGTTGAAACGGAGTCCTCTTTCTGAATTGTTAGTTTTCTATTATCAACAATTCCGATTTCTACGAGCAGAAAATTGGAAAAAGCGTCTACGACCAAACAAAATTTCCGAATTTACTGTCTAGCAGAAAATCAGAAATTGTGTTTACGACCAAAGCAAATTTCCAAATTCCCACTATAGGCCTAATAATAGCAGAAAATCGGAAATTGCGTTTATGACCAAACCAAATTTCAGAATTTCCACTAGCAGAAAAATGAACGTTTGATACCATGAACCAAATTTAATTTTTGTTTACTAGTAAAAAATCAAGGCGGAATTTGTTTAAGCGGGAAATGAGGTTAGATTGTTTGGGCTTCTCCAAGTTGTTTGGGTATAAGAAACCCTCACCAGCAGAATGTTGGTGTTTTTATCAGTGAGAAATGCCCACCCTTCTTTTTTAATCTATAGGCCTTAAAGAAAAATAATATTTAAGAACGATAGGAGAGGCACTTGACTAATGATTTGTTAAACCTTGAGCAAACTAGATTTTTTGTTATGGGTGCATACCTATGTTCCTCAATACCTATGTTCCCCAATACCGATGTTCCCCGAAATCCTTACCCTAACCCTAACCTTAACCCTAACCCTAATCCTAAGGATTTCGGGGAACATCGGTTTTGGGGAACATAGGTATTGGGGAACATCGGGTAGACCCCGTTTTTATTCCCCCTAAAAAGTCCAGTGCGAACGCGGCTTGACTTTGGTTAGTCGCCAAATATACAATTCCAATAAAATAACAAGTCGGCGTCAGCCAAGGGCGGATCTGGGAAGGGGCCAACGGGGACCATGCCCCCCCCCCCCCAAAAAAAGAACCCAAAGTGACGTGGCAATAAAGGCCGCAGTCACTGCATACACTACAATCCTTTACTCAAAGTGGTCAGATCGCACCACAGAGCATATAAAATCCAAAATAATTTGGGGCCGTTAAACGGGCACCGAACCCCACGCCAGGGACTCACTTTTTGGGGGACCACAAAAAAAAAGTTGTGTTCTGGATCCGCCCTTAGCATCGGCTTCTAAAATAGAAGTACGGCTTTTATGTCATTCTAGCCTTGGTCAAGGCGTTCGATTATTCGTCCGTACATATGGGCAATTCCAAGCAAACAGGGACATGGCCCAAAAAATCAAATTCATTCCTGAACTTCCGTTTCATTTTGAAGTTGTTGCTAATAGATGTAAGGACCAGGATATCAGCCTTTTTAGTCAAATCTTCATCGTTTTCTATGAATGTCACGTTTCTTCCTGGTGATGTTTGGCTTATAAAAGGTACTTCTTTATGTGCATTTGATTTGTTTGCATATTTTTCTTGGAAAAAGCATCAGTTACAAATTTATTATGCAATTTAGTGGTATGATGACTTTATACCTTAAAAACAATAAAATAAAAATCTGCCCATGACTTTTCTCGAAGACATGTAGGTGCACAGCAGTGTTGTAGTCGAGTACTTTTTGCCGAGTACCGAGTACTGCCGAGCACCTAGTACCTACTAGTACTTGTGCTTCCGAGTACATACAAGAACAGGTCTCCGAGTACGAGTACTTGAACGTCCGAGTACGAGCTATCGAGTACGAGTACTTTGACATTCGAGTGCGAGTATACGATACTCCAAAAAAGTACGCAAGTAGTATTCGAGTACGAGTACTACAACACTGCTTATTTTGGGGGCAATTTCACTGAGGGTTCACTGTAGACTTTGAATAAAAATCGGAAAATCACGCGGAAATACATTTCTTTGTATAATCTCGCGTTTATGAACAAGAGTGTTTTTAGAACGTGATGAAATTTCATGTTCTGTGAAATTTCAGTTATCTAGGCGCTACAGGTGAAAAATCCAAGTGCGCCACGTTAGAAATAAAAGGGCACATCAACAAAATATAATATAGTATTTACAGCTCTATGGTTTAACTCTACGGGTTATAACGTGGTGACGTCTTGAATCAAGACCAGTTGTTCCTTGGCGACAGCGCTAGCGTCCTCCAAATTGCGACAGGTGTAGCGTAAATTTATGTCTCTCTGGAATACGCATTCATCAGTAGTATTGCGCATGCGTGAGTATGATAATTGGAGCGCATAGACATCCTCGGCTCCAGGGGCGCGTGCTCGTTCCTTACACTAACCCCTGGCTGTGATGATGAGGTAAATGACGCGGAATGGCTATTCACAGCGTACTGCGCGGGTATTTCGAAGATTGCACGCCGGGCGCGCCCATAATGCGCTCGCGCTCGCGTGCTTAGCTTTGCACGTAACGTCACGTACAAAAAAAATAATTATGATTTAAAAGTCGCGATGCCTGTACGATATGGATTATGTCAAACCCCCTGTATCTGTGGTTGTAAAGGCCAGAAAGGATACGTACATTTAATACAAATCTTTGCTAATTAACACAACTTCCAAACGTTGTGTTTGAAAGGATTAATTCTTCAAAATCACAACTTTTAACATTTTAAAGATGGCGTCGGCATGTAAAACGGATAAACTGCAGCCCTAATTATAATGTACTGTATTTTGGTATATTTAAATTACATAATTCCAGGGGTTACGATCGCGCAAGGCATGATGGGAAACAACATGGCGCTGCAAGATCGTACCCACGGGGCACGAGGTTGGTGCATAGCGCCATATTAATGGGAGAGTGACTGGTCACGTGCACATCACATGAGGGTTTAGGCAAAGGAGTCCGACTTTCATAGAAGTTCAATTTTCATATGACACTGGCCCTTGATGGCACGCGCGCATGCGTCGATCATAATGTCATACGTCAATAAATATAAATTCAAAGATCGCATTCCGATCCGCATGCAGTAAGTGTGCGCATATACGGCGGGTACCGGTTCCCGCCGCACGCACTAATACAAGGGTTGACTTACTTAGACCAACTTCTTAACCTTACTTAGCATTAGTCGTACGTTTGTCCTTTGTGTGTTTCATTCACCGCGTGCAGTTCCAGCGAAGGCAGCTAGCTGTATGATGTCCTTCACTGGAAAGGTATATATTCTATAGCCTAGGCCCTAGCCTAGCTGGAGTTACCCAGCCCTGAGTTTTATCATTGGGTTGTCATCTAGGATGACAACCCAATGATAAAACTCAGGGCTGGGTAACTCCAGCTAGCCCTAGCCCAATTTAACGGACACCGGTGTCAGGTCAACTCGCCCCCCTGGCATGCCAGGGCCCTGGCCCGCTGGCCGACTCGCCCCTTACCGACTCGCCGCCTGGCCGACTCCCCCCTGGCCGACTCGCCCCTTCCCCTCCTAGCCAACTCGCCCACTGACCGACTCGCCCCCTGACCAACTCGCCCCCTGGATAAGTATTGTTGATGTACCCTAACGTGGCGCGGCCCCTAATGTGGCGCACTTGGATTTTTCGCCGGTAGCGCCTACCTAGACTTTCTGTGAAATTTCAGTTTAAAATTTTGCTCTAGGCTAGAGCAAAAATTTAAACTGAAATTTCACAGAAAGTGAAATTTCATCAAGTTTCTAAACGGTCCTGTTCATAAATCGCGAGTTTATTTACCCGTAACAAAGTTAGAAGGAAAGCTATTTTGGTGTGATTTTCCGATTTTATTTTCAAGTGCAAAGTGAACCCTTTGAAAATGCCCTGAAAAATAAGAAAATAATTTTCTGACAAACATTTGGCTGGGTATGTAAGTAAAGATATTGATTACTTATCAGAATTTATCAAGTTTACAGGAATTCGTAAGTGTTAATTTGGAATTTTCCAAGATTTATTCAAGTGCGCCACGTTAGGGAACACTCCGCCACTTTTAGCCCCACTAGTGTGGCCGTCGGTATGCTGCGCTGAACCTTTGGCCACACACCGTGGTACCGCGCGCTACTGAGGACGAAGTTTTCATAAAAATTCAGGGCAGTTTCTTACATTCTCAGTTTCTTACTTTCTTATGGTTGTATTCTATGATGTCTCACCTGTCACTTCTGGGATGCTTAGGTCTAATGATGTTCCATTTTCCGAGATATTCTTCAATCTTTCTGGAGTCCATATGCACTCGTGAAACGTCTGGTGATGGCAGCCATTTTGAATGGGACAAGAGATGACCTCAAGCTGTGACGTCGCGTGTATGCAAATTACTTGTCGAGCGCGCGAGGGCGCGAGTTGCAAATGCGACGGCTGTTTCCTGTACCATGCATTTATCGTCAGGGGGCCACGTGCACCGATCTCTATTCAGGATCTACGGCACAGAAAACAGCCGTCGCATTTGCAACTCGCGCCCTCGCGCGCTCGACAAGCAATTTGCATAAACGCGACGTCACAGCTTGAGGTCATCTCTTGTCACATTCAAAATGGCTGCCACCACCAGACGTTTCACGAGTGCATATGGGCTCCAGAAAGATTGAAGAATATCTCGGAAAATGGAACATCATTAGACCTAAGCATCCCAGAAGTGACAGGTGAGACATCATAGAATACAACCATAAGAAAGTAAGAAACTGAGAATGTAAGAAACTGCCCTGAATTTTTATGAAAACTTCGTCCTCAGTAGCGCGCGGTACCACGGTGTGTGGCCAAAGGTTCAGCGCAGCATACCGACGGCCACACTAGTGGGGCTACGCCACTTTGTGCCCAATTTCCGGACACCACCGTTTTTGAATTTCGGATTAAATTTTATGAAACTGAAATTGTTCACAGAGGTAAAATAGCAAGCATTGATAAGGTAAAAGTACTAGTATTTCATTGCATGAATTTGAGGTTTGTCAACAAAGAGGTTTGGCAACACTACACGAGGAAAGTCGGGTAAGCTTCGAAGTGCGCCACGTTAGGGTACACGAGTATAGGCCCAGTATGGCACTTGGCAGTATGGCTGCACATTCAGCGGTCATCTTGAAAATGGAGGGGCCGGAAGTCATTGCCTGCTGTCGCGGCGTGAAACGCTATGGAGCCAAATTATAAAGGCAGTGGATATTTAGCCGGAGATGGCAAACCTTTAGTAGGCCTAAACGTTAGCTTGCCGGATATGCACTGAACATGCGCAGTTACTGTTTTTTGTTACTTAAAGTTAGACATTTTCCGGTGACAAATTTTAGTCTGGCTCCATGCCAACATTATCGTTGTAACTTCATATTCACAAGATGGGAATCGGACCATTTTACAATTTCAGACATTTTTTCCCTTTAAAAAAGATAGTAGATATTTTGCCGGCGGTAATCTCGGCAAGCTAGTTACGTTTACTAAAGGTTTGCTGGCGGCAATCCCTATCAACAGTGGGCGCTGTAGTCTCTAAGATAGGGCTGAATTATAAGATACAAGCTGATTTACCCGATCATAGATCGGGTATATAGGGCATAGTGTTGGGGATGAAAATGTGGGCAGTTAAATGTAAATGGGGGATCATTGAGGAGACATGCAGTTATAGAAAAGCAATTTTTGTGGTGTGATCTGAGGCAATTTCTGACCACTAAAACCAATTTGAGCAAAAGATCATCTTTTAAACATCATTTTCGAGCTTGGGGTAATTGAATCAGCTACACGGTATTCTGAGCAATAGAATCATTATAGTAGGCTACAATTTTTATTCGGGGAAGAATTACAAAGGGTCTGAATGATGGAGGAAGGTCATAATTTACTTTCAGTATTGGACTCTTCAACAAACGTAAACTTCTCACAATTTGCGAGACCGTCTGCGAGGAAAAAGTCGATTCAACTTTTATACAAGTTGATCAACCATCTTTATAAGAGCAAGTTTTACTCGGCCTCCGAGAAATGTTCGCTCCTGAAAGGATCAGAGACCACGGTCTCCCGCGACGCCAAAATGGCTCCACGTCCATAGAAAAATACAGAGAATTTCTTCTGCCAAATCAAGCACTTCAGGTCGTCCTAATTTGTCCGTATGGACCGGCGATCAGTTTTGTCGATTTTTGTGACTGCGTTCAAGATCGCGACCGCGACGCCAAAATGGCTCCACGTCCATAGAAAAATACGGAGAATTTCTTCCTCTAAATCAAGCACTTCAGGTTGTCCTATTTTTTCCTTACGGACCGGCTATCTGTTTTGTCGTTTTTTTTGCGCCTGCGTTCAAGATCGCGATATTTGAAGCAATGCATCGATCCTTTGTTGGTCCCAAACACGACACTGAATTATACCGTGACGTGGCGGGCAGCGAACTTACAGCGCTCAGCCTTGGTGGAAGCATAGAGCTAGTGAAAGCATGGAGCTGTAAACACATTATGGAAGCAACAGCACTCCATCACGCGACGTCACATGCTTGTGCAATGGCGAGCACCGTAGACCCAACCTCGTTTCCAGGGTGTGGAGCATGCTGCAGTACGCGTTGCCATCGACGGTTTTACGCAGACCCCGGAAGTACACAGTGTTCACTTTCGATTGGTCGGACCGCGCAAGGCATACTAATGTGTAGTCATTCTGAGTATTTGTTGCACTCAGCGCAGGGGCAACAAGCAAAGCATATGAAAGAATAGGGACACTTGGTGGCCACGCACCATGGACAAACAAATATTTTACCAAGGTCACCCCATACAACCGTTTGGTGAACACTTGCAGAACGGCCAAGTAGAACATGTAAACGGAACCCCTACGTCGAAGCCGCTGACCTCGCACAGTCTAGACTTTCAGAAAAGCCAGCACAGGGGGCGGCCAGGCAGTCAATGTGAAAGCACACACGATGACGGCAAATTCCTGCGCAAAACGCAGTCACGAAAAATCGACGAAGCGGATCGCCAGTTTGTATGGGAAAATTAGGACGACCCGAAGTGTCTGACCCGGCGGAAGACACCCTCCGCATTTTCCCACGGATGTGGAGCGATTTTGGCACCCCGGGAGCCCGCGGTCTCGGATCCTTTTAGGAGCAACATCGTCTCGGAGGCTGAGTAAAACTCTCTCTTATAGATATTAAATTACCACCAACGATTGTGTAGCAATTGTGGTCTAGTGGATAAGCAACGGATCTCATGAGTGGGAAGACCCGGGTTCGATTCCGTTCCGCGCTGGCGACATATCTAAGTTTTTTTTCCCCATCCCCCCAAAATAAGAATATTCTTCTTTTATTATTTTAACATGTCTCAAACATTTTATTGCAATGTATTACATTTTCTTGTTCAGATTTGTGGCTCTGGAGGATTTTTTTTAAAGGGAAATAAAGTCCGAAATTGTAAAATGGTCTGATTCCCATCTTGTGAATGCGAAGTTTCAACGATAATGTGGGCATGGAACCAGACTAAAATTTGTCACTGGAAAATGTCTTAGAACAAATAAACAGTAACCACTAACTGCGCATGTTCAGTGCATATCCGGCAAGTTAAAGGTTTTCCGTCGCCGGCTAAATATCCACTGCCTTAAAAAAAATCCTCCAGAGCCACAAATCTGAAAAAGAAAATGTAATCTACTCTTCAATAAAATGTTTGAGACATGTTAAAATAATATAAAAAAGAAAATTCTTATTTTGGGGAAATGGGGAAAAAAAAACCTTAGAAATGTCGCCAGCGGGGATCGAACTCGGCTCTTCCCGCTCATGTATGAGATCCGTTGCTTATCCACTAGACTACAGGTGCTACACAACTGTTGGTGGTAATTATCTTATAATTCAGCCCTATCTTAGAGACTACAGCGCCCTCTGTTGATAAGAATTTCCGTCGGCAAACCTTTAGTAAACGTTAGCTTGCCGGGATTACCGCCGGCAATATATCCACTATCTTATTTAAACAACATTTTGAAGGATTTCCGATACAAATTATTCAAGAAACCAGAGATCCTTTATGAAGAATTTGTGTTCTACAGTGGGAGCACATTTGGGCACTGACCGATATAGCGCAGTGTGATTTTTCACCCATGCGTGCATCAGCCGGTCAACTTCGCGGTCCATTATTTCTGTTAAAGATGTAGCAGGCAAAGTTACTTGATGATTTGCCTAAACAGGAACTTGTGACATGAGTCGATCTTACTGGATTTATATTGATACTTTGTTCGTCCGTGATTGCAAGCAATCCGCCATCTTACATCACAACACAATTCCCAGCGTTCATCAGAAGGTCAAAGGTTAATCAATGGATGCAAAAGTATGGAGCGCCTATGTGTACATGTATGTGGTCCGCTACACTTTCCCCTCCAAAGTCCAGTCACTCAATCTGAGGGATGGAAATTCTAGAGTTGTGATCATAAGTACATACATAAAAAATGGAATTAAGGTGATCTCATAATGTCTACACTTAAGAAACATTTTTGCAACTTAAGTCCACACGTACCAACGGAACACATCTGGGTGGAATGTTGTACTACTAGAGAACTTATTTTGTTGGCATAGATACAATGTAGTACGCACAACTTCTCCAACTTCAGTTTCTGGCATGACTAAGTAAAAGCCTAATGTAAATCGGAACAATCGCCGTATCAAAAAACAAGGAATGCAGGTGAACTAATACTGGAATTAAAGCTGACCGAATCAAAAGGGATCAAAAGAAATTAGTGTGTTCTTCCTTTGATTGTCTCTAGCGTTTTGTTATGCCCCGCGGCGAAGCCGAAGGGGCATACTGTTTCCGCCTTGTCCTTCCGTGGGTGGGTGTGTGGGTGGGTGGGGGGGTGGGTGTGGGTGTGTATGGGTGAGCTTGTCTTACATACGCAGTGTGGACTTCCGAACAAAAGACGTCCACATAATGTAGGTAGCACCGACGTTGTGTGGACTTACCCCACGTCCACACAGTGTTTCCCCATTTCTGGAAAACAGGTTTAGAGGCATTTTTGGGTTAGGTTTATCTGTAGCAGAATGAAGAGAAACACTAAAGGGAATCATAGAAAAAAAATTGGGTTGAAAGAGTTTTCACAGTTTGAGAAAAATGAGTTTTTTCACTGGTTTTTCTTAACTACACGAAAGCAATGGAAAGTCCACACTAGTCATGTGAAACAAGTATGGGTGGGTGGGTGGGTGTGTGTGTGTGTCTTGTCAGCGCGATAACTTGAGAAATACTTAACATATGAACTTCAAATTTGGTTTGTGGAGTGTCCTTGGTAATCCTAAGAAGCCTTTTGCATTTGGGGCTCAAAGGTCAAGGGTCAAGGTCACAGTCGCTGAAACAATAGAAATGTTGTCAGCGCGATAACTTGAGAAATACTTTACATATGAACTTCAAATTTGGTTTGTGGATTGTCCTTGGCAATCCTAAGAAGCCTTTTGCTTTTGGGGCCAAAAGGTCAAGGGTCAAGGTCACAGTGACTAAAACAAAAGAAATTTTGTCAGCGTGATAACTTGAGAAATACTTTACATATGAACTTCATATTTGGTTTGTGGATTGTCCTTGGCAATCCTAAGAAGCCTATTGCATTTGGGGCCAAAAGGTCAAGGGTCAAGGTCACAGTGGCTAAAACAAAAGAAATTTTGTCAGCGCGATAACTTGAGAAATACTTTACATGTGAACTTCAAATTTGGTTTGTGGATCGTTCTTGGTAATCCAAATAGGCCTATCGCATTGGGGGTCGAAAGGTTAAGGGTCAAGGTCACAGTGGCTAAAACAATAGAAATCTTGTAGGCCCTATTTATTCTGAGATCATAGGGATTAGGGATTAATTCATATAATACCTACAGAAGACACTAATGCTGTCAATGAACGTTTCATGTGACCAAGGTACATGTACAATGTAAGTTGATGTTAAAAGAGTGGTGTTATGTCATGGAAACAGTCACGGTTGCGGGGCATTTGTGTTTGTAAACACACCTGACTTGGTTTTTTTTGGTTTTAACAACAAAACATGAACTTTTGGGCCTCAACAAATTCCAGCGCAGCTAGAACAACACATGTACATGAACAGAAGTGTTCAGAGTCGCTGATGATCACAGTGTTCCGGCTGAGAGTCTGTCTCATGCAGAGTTAGACGCAGTCGACATGGGCGATGACTATTTCAGATGACACAGTGACACTTGCCAACTTGGATCTTCCTGTTGTTCCTCATGGGGACGCTTGTGGGCTGGAATGGGGTTGGTGCAGACATCAGGGCCCGGAACTCCATTTCGCCACAGGGGTTCTCTCAGGCTGTCTCTGTGTCTCTTACGACACAGGGGCGTAAGTATTGCTGGAACTGTTCAGCATGAGTGGGGTTATGCTCCATCGCACCTGGCACTGGCTTTGGGGCAACACTTTCAGCCTGGAGCACTTTAGGGACTGCTTGTAGTTGATGATTGTCCTCCTTTATGAGCGGAGGGGTGCAACACAATGTTTGTGGTTTCTCCACCAACGTCAACAGGCAACGTGATTGTTCCCAGTGTTGTAAGTCCCATCCAGTAAGTGTCTGAACAGGGGACGAGTCAGGCACGGATGTTGGCAGTTGAGCACAAAACTCGTCAGTGACAAATGACAGTGTGGACCCAGTATCCACCAAAGCAATCACTCGGAAACTGTCGCCTATCTTGGCCTCAATCAGAGGGCTACATGCACGACGTGTGCGAGGGTCAATTGTTGAGTCCACATCAAGGGGTGGGGTGTGTTGTTGGATGAGATTCACTCGGCTACCCGGACTAGTGTTCATTTTCACCAAGGGAGTATGAGTCTGCTTTTTGGGGTGGGGCAGGGTAGGTACATTCGGACTCCTTGTGTCCAATTTGGTTGCATTTGTAGCACACGATGTTGTACAGGTTACGATGAGGCTGGTCTGGTCTGGTCTGGTCTGGTCTGGTGGTAGTAGTAGGTCGAGTAGATGGTTCGGTGCGGCCAGTAATGGTGGTTGGCGGTGAGTCAGGTTTCGGTTGGGGTCCGGTAGGTGTCTGGAGATTGTTTGATTGGCAATGAAGGATGAGTTCATCGGCTGTCTTGGCAGTTTCCATCAGCGAGGCAAACTTTTTCTCCCTCAGTTTCAGACAAAGCTGTTCATCCCCTGTGACAGACAGGAATTGATCTGTCAAGACAAGGTTGAATGCTCGTTTGGTGTCTGCATCGTTCAGTTTTTCTTTTGATAGTTGAACACATTTGTTAAAGTTCCACTCAAGACAATGAGCGAACTCTTCGAATGTCTCATCCGATTTTTTCACATCTGTCTTGTATTTCAGCTGATACGCCTTGGGGGGTAAAGAAGTAGCAAAGGTGGACGACCTCGACGATCTTGTCATAGTCCTGGTTATCTGTATCACTCAAGGAGTGGAATGCTTTCTGGGCTTTGCCGGTGAGATAGGGTTCCAATAGGCGGGGCCACTGATCTTTCTTTTTTTTTTTGGCAGCAACGGCCACACGCTCAAAGGTACTCGGGTAACATGCCACATCATCATCAGGCCCTAGCTTGTGAAAGTCAGGTAATTTGGGGCCCACATTCACGACGGGAGGCATTTTGGTAGCAACAGCACAAGCGAGTGTTTGACAAAGTTTCTCAGTGTCCTGGCGTCGATTTGCTTTAAGTTCCTGAATTATCTTGAGCAGATCAAGGGTCTCTACTTTCGGTTTGGCATGGGAAACTCTTCTACCATGTGTGGCAACTCGGCGAGACAAGTTATGTGTTCTGGTATGGTTTTGATGGTGGTCACATCAATATGATTTAGTTCACACAGTTGGCCAATGTGGTCGGCGGTAAAGCGATTGAGGTAGGTTGATCTATCCATAGCTACGACAACAGAATGGCTGAATAGTCTTCCTGACAACAGCACAAACGTTTAGTAACAGTTTCTTGTTCACAACAATAATTGGGTTAATCGCTACAATCGCTACAGTTCTCGATCTATGTGGATGATGACTGACAACACATGGATAAAGCAAAAAACACAAACGGTTAAATGTTCAATTTTCTGGTCCTAATATCACAAAGTCCTTTGACAAATTTTGAAGAATTTGTGTTGGACAGTGGGAGCACATTTGGGCACTGACCGATATAGCGCAGCCGGTCAACTTCGCAGTCCATTATTTCCGTTAAAGATGTAACAGGCGAAGTTACTTGATGATTTGCCTAAACAGGAACTTGTGACATGAGTCGATCTTACTGGATTTATATTGATACTTTATTCGTCCGCGATTGCAAACAATCCGCCTTCTTACATCACAACACAATTCCCAGCATTCATCTGAAGGTCAAAGGTTAATCAATGGATACAAAAGTATGGAGCGCCTATGTGTACATGTACGTGGTCCGCTACAAAGATTTAAAAGTGTTTTAACTATTTATATTTAAAATGTACAAAAAATATTAGTAAAGTTATTTGTTTGGGCTGGGACAAGGATGAAAACGATGCCCTTCTAGTTGTCCTTCTTTTTTGGAGGGTGGGGGGGGGGGGGGTGTTTTATGGGTGTTCTTATAAATTACACTTCACAACATTTCTGATAGTCAAAACTCAAAAAGCCTACAATAATGTACTACTGTAATAGTGCAAGTAATACTGCAAGTAGATTCGTGAAGCAATATTCCATAACTAGACTTTTACTCGGGGCAATCATTGAGTTGTAACAATTTGAAATAAATTAACATTTCACAAAATGTCTGAAGTCAAAACTCAAATAGGAATCTTTCATTTATTTGCTATAGGCCCCCCCCAAAAATACTCGGTCTCTGGTCAGCGCGTGCGTCAATTTTAATCATGCGCGTCAATCTTTTTTTCCCCAAAATTGTCCACGGTAGCTACAACAGCGATCTCTGTTGCCGCACCAACTCAAATTTTTGTAACAAGGAGCAGCAAGGAATGGGGAAATTTCACAAATGCAAGTGATGGAGGACACCAATGTATATGAGGACACAAAAAAAGGAAAATAGTACCCACCTTGTCTGTACAATCCAAGCTTTGAAAAAAGAAGAAGTTCCATCAAGTTCCTGTTTATTGTTATCGAAAAGTTGGCATAAAAATGTAGTGGGAGAGAATTACTTGTCATGGGGTGCCTGTCCAAAGATGTTGGCAGCACGTGCACAGACCGCGAAGTTGACCGGCAGCTTCGCACACAGGCCCCATGGGCACTCCTCGAAAACTCACGCTGCGCTATATCGGTCAGTGCCTAAGCTCACACCATCAACCTATATTTCCGACTTGGTAAGGTTTTCCCAACACAAATTCTTATTAAATGATCACTAGTTTCTTGTATTTGTACCGGAAATTCTTCAACTGTCGTTTATGGCTCCATAGCGTTTCACGCCGCAACCGCGGGCAATGAGTTCCCCTCCATTTTCAAGATGGCCGCGAGTTGACCTACAATCATTTCACCCTAGCCTAGAGTCGCGTCTAGCTAGACCCGTGAACATGGCGTTGTAAACAACACCACGCTCCGTCCAGGCGTAAATACACTCAAAATTGTCATGCGGCACGTTATTTCACATAAGAGTTTAAAACTACATGTAATATTTTCCTTTAGGTTAATCACTTACTTGTTAGGCTTTCTGTTAATTTATGTGAGTGTTGGATCTGTCATTGCCAAGAAATTTGATGAAAAATACGTCACAACTAGCCCCATAAATGTGGCCAATTTACTGGACTACCTCTGTAAATAAAGGCCACACTTGGAACATGTACCCTAAAATGTAGAACTTTGTCAAGTTTTTATTTTCACATGTAGACTTTGTTTGTAGGTTATTTACACTTTAGAAGCACACTTACCCTCTTTAAAGTGAAAGAAAAGTAGTCCACCCTTTTTCAGATGTGATTTTCAGGTGATCGTGTAGTGTAGTATCTAGTTTTGATCAAATTAGAGTCGAGGATGTTTTTTATAACCCTAACCCTAACCCTACCCCTAACTGTAATCCTAAGAATTTCGGGGGAACATCGGTATTGGGGAACATAGGTATTGGAGAACATCGCCCATGATCGGGTAGACCCCCTTTTTAACATAAAGCAGACTTCTCTCAATATAATGACACCTTTTTTTGTACGTTTTGAACAGTTTCTTGGGGTAGAAATTTCGATTCAGGTGCCATGCGATTCAGCACACCTAGCCCGAATGCCTCTGGCCGTACTCTACTATCAGAGGCATTCGGGCTACAGGGCGCCTTGTGTGTTCTCGGTGCTTCGTACTGTGAACCGGTGATCACTATCTTTATTTTCGTGATGTGTTTTGTCGTCGTCATCGTCATTTTACCTCCAAATTTCCCTCAAAATTCAAAACCCTGTCCTTTATCTGTGACATACAATGTACAGGCTTGTACGTATGTTCTTAGGCCAAGTAAAAAAACCACATGTTCAGTGTCCTGCCTTTTTGAAAAACAAGGAAGGAGGCCCCCTTTTTTGTTCCCCTCCAAAATGGCCACCCAACCGGGCTATTTTTCAAGATGGCCACCAGCTTTTTTTTTTAAATGGTCGCCACTTGGACTCGGGAAATGACATACCAGTACCAGCTTTACATGGGCTAGATGCAACAGACAAAGAGGCCAAACTGATGTCCCTGCTTAAAATTTATCATTTTTTTTTTGTTAGTTTTTTTTTTTTTTTCCTGGGTGATTTGACAGATTTTTGGAGTGAAGCAGAATTTTAACATGGTATTACGGTCATCCTGCCATGTAAGACAGGTGGTCGGGTACCAACTGGTGGGACTCCCGCCGTGTTGTGCATGCGCAACTTAACTCAGGGTACCAGAGTACCATGAACACGTTCGTTGTGACTAGCCCCATAAATGTGTCCAATTTACTGGACTACCTCCGTAAATAAAGGCCATACTTGGAACATGTACCCGAAAATGTAGAACTTTGTCAAGTTTTTATTTTCACATTTTGATTTTGCTTGTAGTTCATTTGAAAGTCCCGATTGTCCGTAATGCATTTCCATTGAATTTTTTATTTCTTAGTTGGCTTTTAAAAGTCGCCATTTCGCTCAAGTCGTCGTGTTACTCTCGGTCCCATTTCCATAAAAAGCATCACAAAATCCTTTGTGTAAGTCGGCATTCAACAAATCACGCATTGGCATCGACTTCCTGTACTGCGATTGGCAAAGTGTTGAGTGAAAAGTGGTTTCGCACGGCCTGTGATCGCTGCATGCATCGGTGTCGAAAAAGGGTGTCCTACTGCATACATCACATATGCATCGTGAGCATATCAATATCAGTACGCCCTCTAGTCTATACACATGTATGCGCTCTGTCCATTTTAGGGGTTGTCTTATTGAATGACCAGTGCTGCAGTCAATGCGTGCGTGGTATATACCGGACCACACACCCATTTAATTTGTTACTGTGCACGTACATATGGGCAATTCCACGGTTACTCACGTTACGTTTTTGATGTACTTTTGAGTTTCCTTGGGCTGTAATTACCTTACTGAAAAGGTTTAATAAGTGTTATTCCCATGGTAGATAGAGTAGACTTAGCCCTACCTTAGCACCAAAGATGACATCCAGAAAAATGTGTTATGTATGATAAGGCCAAAAAAAAAAATCAGTTGATCTCTGGTCAGCGTGCGCGTCGATTTTAAACATGCGCGTCAATCTCTTTTTTTCCCCCAAATGTTCTGCGGTAGCTCCAACAGCGCCCTCTATTTCCACCCCTCCTTGTTTTTACCAAAGAGCACAAGGAATGGGAAATTGCACCAAGGCAAATGATCGAAAGCACCAAGGCAAATTATGGAGGACACCAATGTACATGAGGACACCAAAAAAGCAAAATAGTACCCCACCTTGTCTGTACAATTCAAGCTTGAAGAAAGAAAAAAAAAATGCAAAAAAAAAAGAAAAAAAAAAGCCGCGTCGTCGCGTCAATTCCGGAACTTTGGTCTGACCAGAGACCGAATATTTTTTTTTTGGGCCTAAACAAGACGCCCGAAATCGGGTACTCGCGTTACATTTTTGGACATGCATAAAAAGAAAACATGCTTTGATCAAAAAGTGTCCTCATACAAGCAACCTGTGGAAATTTCTTTTAAATGGATAAAAGACCATGCCATGGGGCACACATAATAAGAGTAAAACAAATCCTCCAAAATCTCCCATTTTTTTTTGCAATCCACAAAAAACATGGTTACTCACGTTACAGTTACTCACGTTACATTTTGTCCAACCCATCTCAGAATTGTTTGGCATGATTTTTTTTTACTAAATTATCATAATTAGTATTTTTCTACCCAATAGGCGTCAGAACTACATAAATGTGGCCAATTTACTGGACTACCTCTGTAAATAAAGGCCACACTTGGAACATGTACCCTAAAATGTAGAACTTTGTCAAGTTTTTATTTTCACATGTAGACTTTGTTTGTAGGTTATTTACACTTTAGAAGCACACTTACCCTCTTTAAAGTGATAGAAAAGTAGTCCACCCTTTTTCAGATGTGATTTTCAGGTGATCGTGTAGTGTTAGGCCCCTATCTAGTTTTGATCAAATTAGAGTCGAGGATGTTTT